AAATGTGCTTATCTTCATTTTGTTGGTATTTACCAATAATCTATTCATTAACTTATATGCCTACTAGACTAAAATAATGTATCATCTTGCTTGAAATTGTTTGTTATATCAGGGACTTACGTCTTTGGTAATATTGTACAACAACAGTATATCGGCTATGACATTGTGCTTTAGATTTTAGCTGCAAATTAAGTGTATGGAAATTTGTTTTTGTACTTAGTCATACACTGTTATGACTACTGTTAACTGTTTTTATTTTTTAATTAATGTTTCAATGAAAAAAAAAAACATGAATTTACTCAATTCATGTTAAAAGAAGAAGACATTATTACAAGGGAAAATTAATAAGAATGATAACTAAGCAATAATACTATATCAACTATTCAAGCCTCATTCCAATTTGCAATTTCCAGCAAAAATGCATACGCGTTATTCTACTTATTATAAACCAGGTCATTTATTGGCATAATTTTTGTTTGACGCTAAAGGAGAATTAAAAAAGAGAAACAGAGACTCTATTTCTCATAATGTTCTTGACGAGTTCTTTACTACGCAAATTCAGTGGTTGTATATTGCATCTGCTGGCATGGTCTCGCCAGCTGATTTTTATGCATACATTATACAGTCAAGCGTCCGGGGTATGGAGACCGTGGCGCTTTGAAACAGGGGCGCGTTGAAACCGTCTCAATAAATCTCTGATAGGCCTACGAACAAATTGTTAAAATTATCTGAATGCTCTGGCAACCTATAGACATAAACAAGCTATATATTAAAAATTAGTGCGATCCGACCAGTAAGTCAAGAAATAAAGGTTAAAGGTCAAAGGTTATTCATTTATATTGCGCAAATTACGAGATTCTCTATGCGCAGAATAAGTGAGCAAATGTAACTGGAAAAAAAAAATCCAAGTCAACACCCAAATCGCTGAGCAGAGATCTCTCAAAATGTACCCTGTCCAACAGCAGTTGAGTCTCGGCCATCCCATTCTCACGCGCCTCCTATCCTGATATAACTACTAAAAAATCTAGCTGGCAAGGGATGGAAAAGGGAAAATCAAAGAAAACGAAATAAGTGAGTTTTTAAATGAGATTTAAACAGAGAGACGGATGGCGACTCACGAATACATAACAGTAAAGTATTCCATAATTTAGGAGCAGCAACCATGAATGAACGCTCCCCACACGACTTTAACCTGCAGGGTGGACTATACAGTGTAGTCAAATTGGATGTTGATCTGAGGGTACGAGCACATGTTGAGGAGCAAGACATAAGCTGGCGTCACACGGTCAGATTTGCACAAAAATTTTGGTACAGTTTTTCATTTTGACAGGAGTAGGTAGACACTTGATATTCCCTAGGCACACTGTTAAATTGTTTGATATATAACTTGTCAGCCCATAATAATTTTAGGGACAATCTCTATTAAGGCCAAGTAAAATTAGGCCACTTGATATTCCAACACCCAGACGTTTTTTGTTTATGTTCAATATGGATGTAAGTTTGTTAGTTACTGTGGTCAGTTTTGTATATTTGGTAAATGAAATGGAAAAGAAAAAGAAAGTTAAGAGATTAAAAAAAAAAAACACGTACTTGGGTTAGGCCGTGGATTCACAAACGAAATAAATATTTAGCATATCATGGTCTATTAAAAGAGTTGAATGCTGGCGATAAGGGAGAATACAATAACTTTCTCCGAATGGATAAGTCGTCCTTTGATGATATTTTGCAAAAAACCTTTCCTCTACCAAACTCAAAAAAATGCTGTGGGTCTACTGATACAGGATCTTTTTCTATGCAGATCCCTATTATTTCCCAAAGGTCTAAACTTTCTGGCTGTTGATTTTCAAATGTCGTCAAATACTTGTAGAAAATAGGACATGTTCTATTCCTTTCCCATCACTTCGGACACCCAAGGGGACCACAGGTTAAAGCAAAGTTCGCAGTAAAATCACAGACTTGGGACACAAACCAGGTAGCCCCATTAATCATGTTTGCACTGGATGAATATTTGAAGTCAAAAACTGACCGTGTGACGATAGCCTGTTTCCACTGGCTAAATGTCCATGACCTTTTGACTTATTTAATGGGAAAATACAGCACGGAAGCTGTTGGCGTAAAAACAATCAATTAAATTTTTGAAAGAAATTACCTTAGAATCATATTAAAAGGCGTGTCATGTTATTTTAAAATAAATATTCATATCAATAACTTTCTCCGAATGGATAAGTCGTCCTTTGATGATATTTTGCAAAAAACTCTTCCTCTTGATTAATTAATTCTGTGTAGATTTTTTTTTTGGCAATTTTTTTGTATTTTCTTCTCTACATCTATTTCTATGCAGATCCCTACCATTTCCTAAAGGTCTAAGCTTTCTGCGCTGCGATTGGTTGTTGATTTTCAGATGTCGTCAAATACTTGTAGAAAATAGGACAGGGTATATTCCTTTCCCTTCACTTTGGACACCCAAGGGGACCATAGGTGAAAGCAAAGTTCGTAGTAAAATCACAGACTTGGAACGCAAATCATGTAAGCCTCATTAATCATTTTTGCACGGGATAAATATTTGAAGTCAAAAACTGACCGTGTGACGCCAGCTTTATAAGTTGAGAAATGTATTTAGGAGATAACTGATGAATGGATTTGTAAACAAACAATAAAATTTTGAAACCAATGAAGATGACGGAGTACTGGTGTGATATATGTTGACGTTTAGGTGTTCCAGTAACCAACCGAGCAGCGATGTTAATTAGCAGCTGAAGCTTATTAATTGAGGATTGAGGCAGTCCGTAGAGGACCACATTACAATAATCCAATATGGATGTTACTAAGGTTTGTACATGTTTAGAAGCAGCATCTTCGTTCGAAATATCGTTATTTATCGATTATAACACCTGGTAAGTAACTATTATCGATATAACTTTATTATAAATAACACCTAGAATATATAGTTTACTATTTTGATGATGAATACATTTTTAAAAAGTCATGTTATTGCTTGTTTATTCACAGTATTGTTTTTGGCCATGTGAGTCGCCATTACGAGACACAAAGGCCGATAGTGCCTTCGGAGTACGTTGAAACACCGTGTTTCAATACAGCCTATATCATGATATAATGTAATGTAATTTAATTGTTTAATATTTTCTGTCACATAAAATTAAGTGGTATCATGATAATCGTATTAAACATACAAAATATTCAGAATATAATTAAATATTATCATAATTGTTCTTTCTGTATGTTAATTTAAATATTGTACGGTAATAAATCAGATAAAAAAAGATATAAATAAATACTAGTGCAAGTTAAAGTCCTAAAAAATATAGTCAATAACTAAGTTAGTATTTGCCTATAGTCACTATTTTGCCGAATTTATTAAATATATATATAATATTTCAATTCTATATTATAATTTATAAGCCTTGACATTTGTGTTTTTTTATATAGATTCATCACCATCCGGAACAGGCCATCGAAAAATGAGAGGTTGATTATCCCGAGTTATTAAAGCGAGCAGCCCCAGTGTAGTACTTTTATTTAGAGAAGAAGTGTGTTCGGTTGTAGCAGCCGATTTTGATGGTGTAATTAGGTCCTTTGGTGAACAAATGTGAATAAAGTATACAACTGATACTATTCCATTTATTAGAATGGACATAACATTAGCGTATAGGCCAATATCTGCTAACCAATTACTATTCATATTTCAAGCCTGTATTTTTAAAAATATAATATAATATGTCATACATAGGATTACGAGATACATGATAAGTCGTATAGTAGAGATGTGGGTTAACCACATCTCTATATTTGCACAAGTAATTTAAATTGTTTATTGAGCAAATTAATCTTACTGATAAACAATTGTACTACAATGAGCTGGTGCATATGAACGTCTATTTACGAGACATAATTTCGTTATTTTCTTTCCAAAAAAAAAGTAATAAACGTTAACTAGCACCTCATATCAACTTTTGAATGGTGAAAGTAAGCTCAGTATAACCCATTTTACCGAGTATAAAATTTAATTTAGTAGAACATACTGCTGTTCTCTCCCCCCCCCCCCACCACCGTTGTATTTAGGTGGTACACGTTACAGTACACACAATGAGCCTACAACTATATGTCTGAGTTAACGCATGAATGGTTTTAAGTATCTTCTTAGGACTTTTTCCTACCCCACATCTCTATCTAATTTTGCTGAGAGTTTTACTTGAACAATTTTGTGTAACTTTTGGTATCTGCGCATGACATGTTTTCATTGCAGGATTTATGTGTTCCGAAGTTGAGCATAATCTCGAATGACTAAATCACAATTGTTACAATATTTTCATGTGATGAGAAGTTGTTAACTTTTCACTGGGAAAGAAATTAATACTTTATAGTTAACTTTTCCAAATATTTTTTGTTATTTCCTAATAATTGTTTTTATTGGAGGGTAACCCAGATGTGTGCACTGTTTTACACTGGGCCGCTTATCATCACAATACTCTCCATGAAATCCCAAATTTGTAATCAAACAC